TAAATTTTGCTTTTAAAGAAAATTTTCTTTTTATAGAAGATTTTCAATAAATTTTCTTTTTATAGAAGATTTTCGATAAATTTTCTTTTTATAGAAGATTTTCGATAAATTTTCTTTTTATAGAAAATTTTTGATACATTTTCTTTTTATAGAAAATTTTCGATAAACTTTCTTTTTATAGAAAATTTTCGATACATTTTCTTTTTATATAATATTTTCGATACATTTTCTTTTTATAGAAAATTTTCGATACATTTTCTTTTTGTAGAAAATTTTCGATACATTTTCTTTTTATAGAAAATTTTCGATAAATTTTCCTTTTATAGAAAATTTTCGATAAATTTTCCTTTTATAGAAAATTTTCGATAAATTTTCCTTTTATAGAAAATTTTCGATACGTTTTCCTTTTATAGAAAATTTTCGATAAATTTTCCTTTTATAGAAAATTTTCGATACATTTTCTTTTTATAGAAAATTTTCGATACATTTTCTTTTTATAAAAAATTTTCGATACATTTTCTTTTTATAGAAAATTTTCCATTAATTTTCTTTTTATAGAGAAAATTTTCTATAAATTATCGTTTTATAGAGAAAATCTACAATAAAGTAATAAATTATAGAGAAAATCTTCGATAATTTTTCGTTTTACACAGATAATTTTCTTCTTTTCTTTATATACAGATAATTTTCTTCTTTTCTTTTTATAGAAAATTTTCGATAAATTTTCTTCTTATATAAAAATTTGTTAAATTTTATATAATATTCGGAAAATTCTCTATTTATAGGAGAGTACCGTGTTCGGATTTGTCCAATAGTATATGATCGATCGATTTTAACCGATATGATTATATTTTATTAATATTTATATTTTCCTCACTTATTCTTCATACAGGTTAAATCCTATTACGCATTTAAAATTTATCATGTTTTACAAGATCATTAATAATATTTTAAAATTGATTTGGTGGGCGTGATTGTAACTGTCACATACCCGAACACTGATTAACATTAAAACCATTAAAAACGTTTTGTCTTCTTTTTTGAAATTCCGCCAAAGGTTAATAGCAGATTTTAGTTGGTGCACGAGTAGACAGAAACAAAAAATTAAGTATTCACACATATGAATACAGTATGTTAACTTAAATAGAGTTGCGTGTGAACGTAATTACTGCACCTTTTAGTTGTCATGTAAGTACGTGTATAAAAAATTATGTATGAATTCGAATAAAATGTACGAATATGTTTTTCTTTCTTCTGAAAATATTTATGTTTAAGTACCACATACAAATGTGGATTGTACATATGAAAATATTAATGTTTTTCTGAATATGCATAAGGCCTTTGTGGCATTACTTTATTTTTTGTTTTGTTTCAAGACAATATAAATGACACTAGATTATTGTACATTTGATGTCGCTTATTCAACTCAAATTTCATATATGCATGCACTCATGCTGTGAAAAGTATTTTTCAGAAATTCATATGAAAATGTTAATTTAAAGACATCTGTAAATGTCGATTTTTATCTGCTTATTGCATTATATTCCTTTAGTCAGCTTTTGGAAGAAAATTTAAGCCCTTTTTTAACGAAGGTCAAGATTTAAGTTTTTTTTTTTTTTTAACAGGGAAAGAAAAATGTTTTTAAGTAGAGTTTTATTTTTTTTTTGTCAGTAGATCAAAGGTATTTAGTGCATGATTTATTATTAAGTACTTTAGCCGACAGTGGAACAAAAATATCCCACAGGATCCGATATTAGGTTAAAGAGCACTGACGAATTTTAACTTTCTTCTCGTAGCTTTCAGTAAATAAGATTAGATTAGATTGTCCTAAAATATTTTCTGTTAATCAGACTATAGACTAGACTATAGACTAGACAATAGACTAGACTATAGACTAGACTATAGACTAGACTATAGACTAGGCTATAGACTACACTATAGACTAGACTATAGACTAGACTATAGACTAGACTATAGACTAGACTATAGACTAGACTATAGACTAGAATATTGACTAGACTATAGACTAGACAATAGACTAGACTATAGACTAGAATATAGACTAGACTATAGACTAGACTATAGACTAGACTATAGACTAGACTATAGACTAGACTATAGACTAGACTATAGACTAGACTATAGACTAGACTATAGACTAGACTATAGACTAGACTATAGACTAGACTATAGACTAGACTATAGACTAGACTATAGACTAGACTATAGACTAGACTATAGACTAGACTATAGACTAGACTATAGACTAGACTATAGACTAGACTATAGACTAGACTATAGACTAGACTATAGACTAGACTATAGACTAGACTATAGACTAGACTATAGACTAGACTATAGACTAGACTATAGACTAGACTATAGACTAGACTATAGACTAGACTATAGACTAGACTATAGACTAGACTATAGACTAGACTATAGACTAGACTATAGACTAGACTATAGACTAGACTATAGACTAGACTATAGACTAGACTATAGACTAGACTATAGACTAGACTATAGACTAGACTATAGACTAGACTATAGACTAGACTATAGACTAGACTATAGACTAGACTATAGACTAGACTATAGACTAGACTATAGACTAGACTATAGACTAGACTATAGACTAGACTATAGACTAGACTATAGACTAGACTATAGACTAGACTATAGACTAGACTATAGACTAGACTATAGACTAGACTATAGACTAGACTATAGACTAGACTATAGACTAGACTATAGACTAGACTATAGACTAGACTATAGACTAGACTATAGACTAGACTATAGACTAGACTATAGACTAGACTATAGACTAGACTATAGACTAGACTATAGACTAGACTATAGACTAGACTATAGACTAGACTATAGACTAGACTATAGACTAGACTATAGACTAGACTATAGACTAGACTATAGACTAGACTATAGACTAGACTATAGACTAGACTATAGACTAGACTATAGACTAGACTATAGACTAGACTATAGACTAGACTATAGACTAGACTATAGACTAGACTATAGACTAGACTATAGACTAGACTATAGACTAGACTATAGACTAGACTATAGACTAGACTATAGACTAGACTATAGACTAGACTATAGACTAGACTATAGACTAGACTATAGACTAGACTATAGACAAGACTATAGACTAGACTATAGACTAGACTATAGACTAGACTATAGACTAGACTATAGACTAGACTATAGACTAGACTATAGACTAGACTATAGACTAGACTATAGACTAGACTATAGACTAGACTATAGACTAGACTATAGACTAGACTATAGACTAGACTATAGACTAGACTATAGACTAGACTATAGACTAGACTATAGACTAGACTATAGACTAGATTATAGACTAGACTACAGACTAGACTATAGACTAGACTATAGACTAGACTACAGATTAGACTATAGACTAGACTATAGACTAGACTATAGACTAGACTATAGACTAGACTATAGACTAGACTATAGACTAGACTATAGACTAGACTATAGACTAGACTATAGACTAGGCTATAGACTAGACTATAGACTAGACTATAGTCTATACTATAGACTAGACTATAGACTAGACTATAGAGACTATAGACTAGACTATAGACTAGACTATGACTAGACTATAGACTAGACTATAGACTAGACTATAGACTAGACTATAGACTAGACTATAGACTAGACTATAGACTAGACTATAGACTAGACTATAGACTAGACTATAGACTAGACTATAGACTAGACTATAGACTAGACTATAGACTAGACTATAGACTAGACTAGACTATAGACTAGACTAGACTATAGACTAGACTATAGACTAGACTATAGACTAGACTATAGACTAGACTATAGACTAGAGACTGATACTAGACTATAGACTAGACTATAGACTAGACGATCGACTAGACTCTAGACTAGACTATAGACTAACTATAGACTAGACTATAACTATACTATCGACTAGACTATAACTAGACTATAGACTAGACTATAGATAGGCTATAGACTACTATATAGCTAGGCTATAGACTAGACTATAGACTTAGACTATAGACTAAGACTAGACTAGGCTTTAGACTAGACTATAGGACTAGACTATAGACTAGGGCTATAGACTAGACTATAGACTAGACTATAGACTAGGCTATAGACTAGACTATAGACTAGACGATAGACTAGACTATAGACTAGACTATAGGACTAGACTATAGACTAGACTGTGGGACATAGACTATAGAGAGACTATAGACTAGAGCTATAGACTAGGACTATAGACTAGACTATAGACTAGACTATAGACAAGACTATAGACTAGACTATAGACTAGACATAGACTAGACTATAGACTATACTATAGACTAGACTGTAGACTAGACTATAGACTAGACTATAGACTAGACTGTAGACTAGACGTTGAAATCTTTTAACAAGGAATAAGGGTGCAATAAAGTATAATGATTATAAGAGATGTCAAGGTAAATATTCTGAATTAAATCTTTGAAAGGGAGCCGTGGTTAGTAGAATCAGATGACCTTGATGTCCAAAATAATATGATGCCTTGTCTAACTAAATGTTTGTCTACTTATCAATCTGTTTATATGTTAAACTTTAAAAACGTCAATTTAATCAATGTCCCAAAATTGTGTTGCAAACAAAAGTCAATTTTAAAACCTAAACTAAATGACAAATATTCATTTATCATTCTCAGACCAATAACAACAATTCTTTTCAAATCCAAACGATAAATTTAGATTTTCCAAGAAATCATAACACTACAGTACAAAACAAAGAGCAAAAAATATAATATTTAAAAATAAATGATCATATCGGATCATATTCCACAAGATAAATTAATAGATGGAATGATCAACAAATCAAATGATGGTGGAGCCGTAAAAGAAAAAATCAGAAACAGAAAAGCAAAACAAAAACATTAATAATGTTGACGACCAATGACTTACCTCATTAATTTCATCTTCAAGAGCACGTTGGCGTGTTAATTCGCGTAAATGTTCGCGTCGTTGTTCGGTGAGTTGTTCCAGACGCTTGGCGGCACGATCAATTTCATTGAATAATAATGTTACCTTCTGTAGTCTAATTGCAACATCAATGTTACCAGTGGTCGTTGATGTTGTTGTTGTTGTTGCTGTAACACTGTTGCTATTATTATTGTTGTGGATAAAGTTGCTGCTGTTGCTGGTATAATTGGCGCTTACACGACTAGCTGTGGTGGTAGAAGTTTGTGAGTTAGATGAATAAATGAATGACTTAATGATGGGATTTGTTGTATTGGTATGTTGGGTTTGTAATAAAGTTGCTGTTGCTGCTGCTGCTTGTTTGGATGATACTGATGTTGTTGATGATGATGATTTGGTTGCTATTGTTGAAATATTGTGACTAATCTGACTTTGATTTTGGTTGCTTTGGTAATTAAAGCTATAACTGCTGCTACCGCTACCCATGATCTTGTTACGATTATATATACTGCTACTACTGCTACCAATAGTTGCGGTGCTCTTTAAACTGCCACTGTAACCAACATTACTGTTGCTATTAATGTGACCGTTAATACTTTTCGCCAGCTCCTGTAAACGTATCATGGTGGCTGTGCTACGTTTGCGCAAATTATGCAATTCAGAATCCATGAGAGCACGACTCAAAGCTCTATGCTGAGCATACAACTGACGCCTGGTTGGCAAACCTTGTAGGTCAGCATGGCGTATGTCATTTAAAGCAGCCACCAAACGATGTGCTGCACCCGTACACTGATTATAAAATGGTTCATACTGCATGAAGAAATCACGCCACTTTCGTGCGTCATGATGATGTAAACCACATAGACGTCCACTAGGTGTCTGAGATGGTGCAACACTTGTCGTGACTTCATCAATACTAATGAATTTGATCATATGTGTTGGTGATTTCTGCAACGAAAACGACGAGAAGAGAAAAAAAAGATACATTTTAAAATGGAAAAATAAATTGGTTAAAAACAACGATTATGGCAATTGATTTATTTTGTTATTTTCATTTATTTGTTTATTTCTTCAGCTTCAGTTTAGTTTTCTCGATTCTGTTCTGGTTGTATTTTTTGTTCACATTAAATTACAGGTTAATTGAGGTTTTCTGTGTTTTAGAGGCGTGTGGCGTTAACTAAAGTTTGTTATTATAAAAAAATAAGATTTAAAAAGGCACCCTAAATAGTTTAAAACTATTTTAATGGTTTGAATTGTGTAAATTTACCGTGAGACTATAAAGATTTATTTAATGACAACTTATTTAATGTACTTTTATAATTTTGGCTTTCATTAGGTTTTCATTAGATAAATATTTAGTTTAAAACTAGTTTTGTACACTCAAGAAATATAATTAGTTAAACAAGTGATTGATTTTAAACGTGTAGTTAAGTTGCATTAAAATTTGTAAATTAAGTTAGTGGAAAATTAAAAGAATTTTTTTCGATATACGATGATAACACAGGCCGACAAAGTTTTTAAAGAGATCATAGTATACTTTTCTAAAGGGTTGAACTGCGAATCTAAAATTTCACATATCATATACACAGGGGGAAAAAGAAATATACACGCCTGGTACCAAATTAACACCAAACTCTTTCAATAACATCCGTTGTCAAAGTATATACATACGTAGTGGCCTCCGGTAGGTTAGTGGTTAGTGTTCTAGTCTGGTAGACCGGAGGTGGTGTGTTCGATTCCCACCTGAGGCACTGGTTAAGGAGCACACAACAGTCCCGATAGAGGCCTAGGTGTATTTCTTCGGATTTGATGTATATACAGCTGTGTTCAAAAAAATAGGAGTGAGACTTAAAAATAATTGTGCAGCTTAATTAAAAAAAAAAACATTTACAGAAATCCAATATTTTTTCACGATATTTGTTTGTTAAGTGTTTAAAATATAAAACGAATGAAATTTTTTATATAGGTTCATTATTTTTTTTGGTATTCACTTTTTTCGAAATCCATATCAGATTTCGGCTGCTCAAAAAAATAGGAGTACCGTATATTATATATTATATAATTAATAATATTTTAGATGAAATTCCCTTGGTTTTTGTTTTTATTTTAAAAATATTTGAACTTAAATCGAATACTCCTATTATTTTGAACAACAGATTTTGTATATAAATTTAAAAAAATATATATTTTTTTAAATAAATTTCTTAAATATTTAAAATAACGATTATAAAAATTAGAGAACAAGTTATATAAATAAATTATAAAAATATTTAATTAAAAATCTAAATCTTTCACTAAAAAGTTTATATTTAAAATTTTTGAAATTTTCACTCCTATTATTTTGAACGCAACTGTACATCCTCCTTTCAAACTAACTAACTAACTAACTACATACGTACGTAGTAAGCTCACTATTGATAAACAATCCGTTGCCAATAGTGAGCTTACCACGTTTGTTAACATTTAGACAACGGATGTGTATAAAATTTAGATTTCGACAACGAATTGTTGCAATGTTGTCAACATTATATAGTGTTGTCGTACGTATGTATATACTTTGACAACGAATGTTATTGAAACAGTTTGGTATCAATTTGGTACCAGGCGTGTATATTTCTTTTTCCCTCTGTGTAGGATTCGAGAAATGTTCTGAAAGTTTGTATTCGTATTTTTAAGTCAGTCAGTCAGGGTCACTTATAAGCAGATCCTCATAAAATTTGGTAGAAATATGAAGAATTTTATAATTATCATGGAACGCTAAAGTCATTTTCTGAAGGTAACTTTCTATGGGGATAGGATCAATTGTGGACCTATGTCCAACATAATTTACCGAATAATTCCTTGGTACATACAACTTTATAACAATTGTTCCGGGGGTTACTTACATATACGAATCCGTGGACCGAAGTTATCTATTTGCAATACCAAATACTGCTTATCAATGACAAATATTTGTGCAAAATTTCATATCTTTAGCCCGTTTCTCGTGTAGGTCGTATCGTACCTAGACAGTAGGGTGATCGATTATTCGACATTTTCCAAAAACCGGTTTTCGAATAGTTCGAATAGTTGACATTTAAAAAAAACCGGTTGATATTTTTCAAATTCAGAAAAAACCGGTTAACCGGTTTTTCATTATAAATAAAAAAACATATTTTAATTTGAAAAACTTAATGTTTATGTTTAAATTTGATTAATAAAACATGGCCCGAAATGATTTTAACAGTTTAAAAGATTATAACTTTAGATCTAGTCGTCTGATTTACATTATTTCTTTAATATAAAAAAATTAGGAAAAAAGTGGGACACTTCTGTTAAACATAAGGTAATCATAGCTTATTTTAAAAGCCCTGTTTAGGAAATTTGCATAGGCATTCCAACACTTCCATAAAATTTCAGCCGTAAATTAATTATTGTAATTGGAATATAATCTTAAGATTGATAAAATTTTATCAAATAGTTATCAATTTTACAAATAAATTTTTTTTAATTAATTAGGAAAATCAAAAAAGTTTAACTAAAGGAGCTTTAGAAAAATATACGCTAGCTCCTCGACTCGAATATTTTTAAAATTTAGGCGGGCTGTATTATTATTTACTTAAAAATTTCATTTAAATAATCTTTGAATACAAAGCAAATAAAAGTATTCGAAACCGGTTTTTAAAAAGTGAAAAAACCGGGTTATTCGATATTCGAAAAATCAACATTAAGAAAAAACCGACACTGGTAAAGCAGAAAAAACCGGTTTTAAAACCGGTTGAAAAATCGAGTCGATCACCCTACTAGACAGACAGTCATGATTAGATCGTATTAGAATTTAATAAGAACCCAGAATATATACTTTTATGGGTCTATGACGAATATTTCGTTGTGTTAGAAACGGAATGACAAAATCAATATCATTGATTCAGTTTATACTTTATAATATCAGTAGAAGTAATCCGATTAGTTAAGTACGGTACGAAGTTCTTTATTCTTCTTGTTAGGAGAGATATTCATTCATATGTAATCAATATCTCCTCGAAGAGAGTGGTGGGAGGATTTTATACCACAAGCTTAAGTAAATTTTTAATTACTGGGCCGAAGTTTCGTCATGAGGATCTATAGGATATACGAGAGAATCATGTGAAACTATACTGACATCAAATATCCATATGGTTTCTGTACGCCATTAAGTCTAGTCCACGAAATTTTAATTTTCATTAAAATTTCTTCCATTTGATCGGAATAGAATTTGACATAGGTGTAAGGAAGAGTTCATGCGTTGAAGATGAGCCCCACAATTACTTCATATGTAATCAATATCTCCTGGTGGGAGGATTTTATAGGAGGATTTTTAAGTAAATTTTAAATTACTGGGCCGAAGTATCATCATGAGGATCTATAGGATATACGAGAGAAACATGTGAAACTATACTGACATCAAATATCTAGATGGTTCCTGTACGCCATTAAGTCTAGTCCATGAAATTTGAATATTCATTAAAATTTCTTCCATTTGATCGGAATACAATTACTTCAGGAGCAGTGCTGTCTGTGGGGGCTCAAAGTAGGACACCTTCAACATGTGCTTTTTTTTTGGTTTTCCAACCGATTTGAAAAATGTTTATATTTTTGAAATTCATTATCGTTTATATATTCAAAAGCAAACGATTTAGAATTTTAAAATTCATAAAAATTGATTAGAAATGCCGAATTTTTTTCCATTGTCTCAACAATTTCTAGGTTGTATGGGGGCTGTGCGAAATAATGGATCGATTTTAACCATATAGGCTTCGTCCTTGTGCAAAATTTCATCAAATTATCTTGAAAATTGAGACCAGTAGCGTGCGCACAAGGTTTACATGGACAGACAGACGGACATAGCTAGATCGACTCAGTAAGTGATTCTGAGCCGATTGGTATTGATGGGTGGGTGTAGGACGAATATTTTTGGGTGTTACAAACATCAGCACAAACGCATAATACCATCCCCACTGTAGTGGTGTAGCATATAATAAAATTATTTTAAAACAAGTAAGAAATTATAGTCGGGCGAGGCCGACCATATAATACCCTACACCTGTTACAAAAATGAAATGTGATTTTTTTTTCATAATAAAGCATTGTAGTTGAATTGTACCTTGCCTCAGATATACTTAAGCCATTTATTGTTGAATAAAATTGTGGACATTTAAGTCAAATTTTGAAGAGGGCTTTGTATAGGTGCTATGGTCAAATGAGACCCTATAATTATAAAATTCATGAGAGTCATCAAGGCTAGTATAGCACTTGGTTTTGCAGCTTTTGTTGAGATACGAGTATATTAAACATAATTATGAATTTAAAAGCCCTATTCGTCGGGTTGGGGGCTAGGTGAAATAATGGACCGATGTTAACCATTTTTAATAAGCTTTGTCTCCGGTACCATAGAAGATCATGTGCCAAATTTCGTTGAATTATCTTCAAATTGCGACCTGTAGTTTGATTACAAGGTCTACAAGCCCTATTCAGGTGTTCAGTTGTATGGGGGCTAGTTGAAATAATGGACCGATGTTATCCACTTTCAATAGGCTTTGTCTCCGGTACCATAGAAGATCATGTGCCAAATTTCATTGAATTATCATCAAAATTGCGACCTGTAGTTTGATTACAATGTTTACAAGCCCTATTCAGGGGTTCAGTTGTATGGGGGCTAGGCGAAATAATGGGCCGATGTTAACCATTTTCAATAGGCTTTATCTCCGGTACTATAGAAGATCATGTGCCAAATTTTATTGAATTATCATCAAAATTGCGACCTATAGTTTGATTAGAAGTTTTACAAGCCCTATTCAGGGGTTCAGTTGTATGGGGGCTAGGTGAAATAATGGACCGATCTTAACCATTTTCAATAGGCTTCGTTCCTGGGACAATAGAAGATCATGTACCAAATTTCATTGAATTATCTTCAAAATTGCGACCTGTAGTTTGATTACAAGGTTTACATGGACGGACGGACAGACGGACGGACGGACAGACGGACGGACGGACGGACAGACGGACGGACAGACGGACGGACATAGCTAAATCGACTCAGAAAATGATTCTAAGCCGATTGGTATACTTTAAGGTGGGTATATGACCAATATTATGCATTTCAAACATCAGCACAAACCCAATATACCCTCCCCACTAAAGTGGTGTAGGGTATAATTACGACAGAATAGCATTATAGAAATTATTATAGATCCATTAAATCTGTTACTGATTTCCTGCAGTTTATAAGGCGTTTAGTTATAAACAACTAATTGCTTATAAAAATTGAGTCATTCACCAAAATTCCTTTAACAACCAAAAACGCCCCTAATTGTCCAAGATAATAATGATCACAATTAACAATCCTGCAAACAAATATTTCTTAATTCTATCTAAATCTTAATCATACAGTCTTGGACAAAGAAATTAGGTTATACCGCCCTTTTTTGTGACAAATACCGTTTATTTCAAATAACTGCAATAGCTGCCAAGGTGGGTCCGGTGTCAAATTTCATTGAAAATTACACACATCACTTTAAACCTTAAATTACCGGAGTTTAATGCTGTTGTCGGTTTAAAACAAACAATAAAAAAAATTGTTAACAACAACGAAATTGTCTTCTAATTGTTGTTAACCTTTTGTAGCCATGCTTTGGCAATAAGGTCACAAAACAAAACCGAAAAAATAAACTAAATATTTAGAAATAAAATGCACAACAATTTTAACGGTGTTAAACATTTTGTCATGATCTCTAAAAAGCCAATCTGTTGATCATGCGATCAATTGAAAATTTACGTTTTTTTTTCTTTTTTCAAAGTAATTTTTCACTTGAAATAAGTTACATAAGTGTCATTTATCATATCGAGTTTAAAATCAAAATCGTGTCTTAAAAATATTATTAAAAGGAAAAAAAAATTCAAATGAAAATAAAGTTATGAAAAGAACTAGTTCAATGACGTTTAATTTTGCTGGAAATTCTGATGGGAACATACCTTATTACTGTTGCAGTGATTGCCATTTGTATCGGTAGTTAAGGCTTTTGGATTTTCAGCTGTAAGTTCAGTGCTGCTACTGTCAGAGGTGATAGAGGTGCTGGTGGTGGTGGTGGCAGAGGAGGTGCTGGTGACAACATCGCCATCAGCTTTTACATTTTATTTGACGTTGGCAGTAAATTGGTATCGAGACAAATGGCAAGTAATTCACAATACGCAATATGCCGTGTTAGGAGTTTTAAACTTTGGCTAATTAAATCGATTACGCACAGGTGTTGCGATTTTTCGATGGCAATTAAAATTGTAAATGTTACTTGATGTTGCTGTTGCTGCTGCTGCTGTTGTGTTTGTAAATGTTCAGTTTGTTGTTTTAGTTGCATGCTGCTGCTGTTGTTGTTGTCATTTAAGGAGGTACATGTTGCTTTTGTAGATGTTGTCACCGTTGTTTTCGTTGACAATTGTGTATTTGCTGTTGTTGCAGCATATTGTGATGTTGTTAATTGATTTGATTGTTGTAATGTTGCTGATGCTGGGGCTGTGGTTGCAACTAATGTTGATGCTGTTATTGTTGGTTGTGATCTTTGAGCTGCATTTGATATCGTAGTCTTACCATTTAAATGATTGCTGCTTTGCACACAACTATCAAGAAAAAAATGTTTTTTTAAAAAATACATGAATACACGAAAGCACAATTAAAATAATTTAATAATAGTTGTAAAAAAAACATACATAAAAATTGTATCTTGATTTTAAAATATTTGTTTGTATCTTTCTTTCGTTTACAACTAAATCATTATTATTTATAGGTCATAAAAATATTTCCCACAAATCTTTGGGCCATACATACATATGGAGAAAGAGTTACATAAAAAACTTTATTCTACAAATATCCTTAATGTCAGTTACCTATCATCTTTACGGCCTAGAGGTGTTATCAAAACACACTAACTTTTCAGACATCGAGTGTGAAGTGCACCACTACAAATCATGTTGCGCGATAGCAAGAATACTATATAAAATCGCTATAATGACTGCAACAAATCTAGAATATTTTTAAAACTCCTCATGTTTATGTACATATGAGTATGTGTGTAGCAGCGTGGCTTAGGGCTTCTTTGATTTGTAGTAGTTTGGTTTAGGCACCCTATTTTTTTTTTTTTGGCGTTTGGTAAAACAACCTGTATTCTTGATCTGACATAAATGTCAGTCAAAGACTTTTAACTGGTTCTAGGTAAGAGAATAGCACAGTAGTTACAAAGGAACATTTTTAAGAACACTTTTTATTTGATTATAGTGACGTTTGGCTTGGCCGAATCTTATGTACTCTTAACCATACTGTATTTAAACAAGTAAGATTGTCATATTCGGCTATGCCGAATAGTATATACCAGGCATGGAAAATTTACTTTGACTAGACTATAGACTAATCTATAGACTAGACTATAGACTAGACTATAGACTAGACTATAGACTAGACTATAGACTAGACTATAAACTAGTCTATAGACTAGACTATAGACTAGACTATAGACTAGACTATAGACTAGACAATAGACAAGACTATAGACTAGACTATAGACAAGACTATAGACTAGACTATAGACTAGGACTATAGACTAGACTAGACTAGACTAGACTAGACTATAGACTAGACTATAGACTAGACTATAGACTAGACTATAGACTAGACTATAGACTAGACTATAGACTAGACTATAGACTAGACTATAGACTAGACTATAGACTAGACTATAGACTAGACTATAGACTAGACTATAGACTAGACTATAGACTAGACTATAGACTAGACTATAGACTAGACTATAGACTAGACTATAGACTAGACTATAGACTAGACTATAGACTAGACTATAGACTAGACTATAGACTAGACTATAGACTAGACTATAGACTAGACTATAGACTAGACTATAGACTAGACTATAGACTAGACTATAGACTAGACTATAGACTAGACCTATAGACTAGACTATAGACTAGACTATAGACTAGACTATAGACTAGACTATAGACTAGACTATAGACTAGACTATAGACTAGACTATAGACTAGACTATAGACTAGACTATAGACTAGACTATAGACTAGACTATAGACTAGACTATAGACTAGACTATAGACTAGACTATAGACTAGACTATAGACTAGACTATAGACTAGACTATAGACTAGACTATAGACTAGACTATAGACTAGACTATAGACTAGACTATAGACTAGACTATAGACTAGACTATAGACTAGACTATAGACTAGACTATAGACTAGACTATAGACAGACTATAGATAGACTATAGACTAGACTATAGACTAGACTATAGACTAGACTATAGACTAGACTATAGACTAGACTAGACTATAGACTAGACTATAGACTAGACTATAGACTAGACTATAGACTAGACTATAGACTAGACTATAGACTAGACTATAGACTAGACTATAGACTAGACTATAGACTAGACTATAGACTAGACTATAGACTAGACTATAGACTAGACTATAGACTAGACTATAGACTAGACTATAGACTAGACTATACTAGACTATAGACTAGACTAGACTAGACTATAGACTAGACTATAGACTAGACTATAGACTAGACTATAGACTAGACTATAGACTAGACTATAGACTAGACTATAGACTAGACTATAGACTAGACTATAGACTAGACTATAGACTAGACTATAGACTAGACTATAGACTAGACTATAGACTAGACTATAGACTAGACTATATACTAGACTATAGACAAGACTAGACTATAGACTAGACTATAGACAAAACTAGACTATAGACTAGACTATAGACTAGACTATAGACAAGACTATAGACAAGACTAGACTATAGACTAGACTAGACTATAGACCAGACTAGACTATAGACTAGACTATAGACTAGACTATAGACTAGACTATAGACTAGACTATAGACTAGACTATAGACTAGACTATAAACTAGTCTATAGACTAGACTATAGACTAGACTATAGACTAGACTATAGACTAGACTATAGACTAGACTATAGACTAGACTATAGACTAGACTATAGACTAGACTATAGACTAGACTATAGACAAGACTATAGACTAGACTATAGACAAGACTATAGACTAGACTATAGACTAGACTATAGACTAGACTATAGACTAGACTATCGACTAGACTATAGACTAGACTATAGACTAGACTATAGACTAGACTATAGACCAGACTATAGACTAGACTATAGTAGACTAGACTATAGACTAGACTATAGACTAGACTAGACTAGACTATAGACTAGACTATAGACTAGACTATAGACTAGACTATAGACTAGACTATAGACTAGACTATAGACTAGACTATAGACTAGACTATAGACTAGACTATAGACTAGACTAGACTAGACTAGACTAGACTATAGACTAGACTATAGACTAGACCATAGACTAGAATATAGACTAGACTATAGACTAGAATATAGACTAGACTATAGACTAGAATATAGACTAGACTATAGACAATAGACTAGACTATAGACTAGACTATAGACTAGACTATAGACTAGACTATAGACTAGACTATAGACTAGACTATAGACTAGACTATATACTAGACTATAGACAAGACTAGACTATAGACTAGACTATAGACAAAACTAGACTATAGACTAGACTATAGACAAGCCTAGACTATAGACTAGACTATAGACCAGACTAGACTATAGACTAGACTATAGACTAGACTATAGACTAGACTATAGACTAGACTATAGACTAGACTATAGACTAGACTATAGACTAGACTATAGACTAGACTATAGACTAGACTATAGACTAGACTATGACTATAGACTAGACTATAGACTAGACTATAGACTAGACTATAGACTAAGATGACTATAGACTAGACTATAGACAGACTATAGACCAGACTATAAACTAGACTATAGACTAGACTATAGACTAGACTATAGGCTAGACTATAGACTAGACTATAGGCTAGACTATAGACTAGACTATAGACCAGACTATAGGACTAGACTATAGAGTAGACTATAGACTAGACTATAGACTAGACTATAGACCTAGACTATAGACTAGACTATAGACTAGACTATAGACTAGACTATAGACTAGACTATAGACTAGACTATAGACTAGACTATAGACTAGACTATAGACTAGACTATAGACTAGACTATAGACTAGACTATAGACTAGACTATAGACTAGACTATAGACTAGACTATAGACTAGACTATAGACTAGACTATAGACTAGACTATAGACTAGACTATAGACTAGACTATAGACCAGACTATAGACTAGACTATAGACTAGACTATAGACTAGACTATAGACTAGACTATAGACTAGACTATAGACTAGACTATAGACTAGACTATAGACTAGACTATAGACTAGACTATAGACTAGACTATAGACTAGACTATAGACTAGCCTATAGACTAGACTATAGACTAGACTATAGAACTAGACTATAGACTAGAACTATAGACTAGCTAAGACTAGACTATAGACTAGACTATAGACTAGACTATAGACTAGACTATAGACTAGACTATAGACTAGACTATAGACTAGACTATAGACTAGACTATAGACTAGACTATAGACTAGACTATAGACTAGACTATAGACTAGACTATATACTAGACTAGCTATACTAGACTATAGACTAGACTATATACTAGACTATAGACTAGACTATATACTAGACTATAGACTAGACTATAGACTAGACTATAGATAGACTATAGACTAGACTATAGACTAGACTATAGACTAGACTATAGACTAGACTATAGACTAGACTATAGACTAGACTATAGACTAGACTATAGACTAGACTAACTAGACTAGACTATAGACTTGACTATAGACTAGACTATAGACTTGACTATAGACTAGACTATAGACTTGACTATAGACTAGACTATAGACTAGACTATAGACTAGACTATAGACTAGACTACAGACTAGACTATAGACTAGACTATATACTAGACTATATACTAGACTATATACTAGACTATTTACTAGACTATAGACTAGACTATAGACTAGACTATAGACTAGACTATAGACTAGACTATAGACTAGACTATAGACTAGACTATAGACTAGACTATAGACTAGACTATAGACTAGACTATAGACTAGACTATAGACTTGACTATAGACAAGACTATAGACTAGACTATAGACTTGACTATAGACTAGACTATAGACTAGACTATAGACTAGACTATAGACTAGACTATAGACTAGACTATAGACTAGACTGTAGACTAGACTATGGACTAGACTATAGACTAGACTGCAGACTAGACTATAGACTAGACTGTAGACTAGACTGCAGACTAGACTATAGACTAGACTGTAGACTAGACTATAGACTAGACTATAGACTAGACTGTAGACTAGACTATAGACTAGACTATAGACTAGACTATAGACTAGACTATAGACTAGACTATAGACTAGACTATAGACTAGACTATAGACTAGACTATAGACTAGACTATTGACTAGACTATAGACTTGTCTATAGACTAGACTATAGACTAGACTCATTTTCTGTTAGATTTTACTAATATTAGAAATAATAAATCGAGATAAGGAAAATTTTGAACTTTATATAAGATTCAAATGAATATAACTTGCCAACTATAAGAGAAATTTTAAAACATGCCTATAAATATTGATTTGGAAAATAAAATTATCTACAAATCACTGTCTGGCGGTACAAACACTTTGGTCTTTTTTTAATTTTGGCACGAAATTGAATTTAAATATGATCCATGTTAAGTAAAAAACTGAAATAAAAAGCTGAAGGCCTGCATAGTCATTGCGGAGCTATAAGAATAACAGCGAAATAAAAAACGAACTCGAAACTAACATAAAAATTCTTTACATTTAAAGTTGGATTTTAGTGTTATTCTTATTTATACTTTGTTTTCTTATTTATCTCATAAAAGAAAGACGAATGACTTTTTTGACATTTTTATAACACACTTTGTACATTATGATGTGAACTTTTATTTGGCATGTCTTTTCCTCTGCTATGTATCGTATAAATACCAAAAAATAACAACAAAACAACAGTTAATATGGAACTATTTTATTCATACATATGATGGTTAGTTAGTTCGTCTCAAGTTATGTATTCATTGCATGAGAATTCATTGCATAGAAATGTATGAACCACAAAGCAAATTTCTATTACACTTGGCGAAAATCCATTGGACATAAAGAATTCATTAGTTATGCTATTGTTAGGTTTGCCTTGTCAAAAATGGATCTTACATATAAAAAGCCTTAATACTATTTTCGTTTTCTGAAGGTTTTTTGTTGGACAAATACTTTGCATGGCATATACTCATAATAAGTAACTGTATTTCACTTGCTTAAGGAATTATTATTTAGTTACTTATTGTTAGTGGTCATTTCTTTCACGTTAGTTTAAAATAGTTTGAATAGATCACTTATTCCACTGAATACCAGATATCAACTAGCAAGAAATTAATGTCAATTCATGAAAAAAATATATTACCAGGATCATTTTACAGTATTTGAAGATTAATTCTTCAAACAGACTAAATCCTAGACTGTAGACTGGACTATAGCCTAGATTATAGACAATACCATAGACTTTAGAAAATAATATCGAATAGATTCAAAAGTAGACTATAAACAAGACTATAGACTAGACTATACTATACACGAGACAACAGACAATATTACAGACCAGACTATCGACTAGACTATATTATGGACTAGATTATAGACTAGACTATAGACAAGAATATACAGTAGACTAGACTATAGAATAGACTATAGACTAGACTATAGACTAGGACTATAGACTAGACTATAGACTAGACTATAGATAGACTATAGACTAGACTATAGACTAGGACTATAGACTAGACTATAGACTAGGACTATAGACAGACTTAGACTAGCTATAGACTAGGACTATAGACTAGACTATAGACTAGACTATAGACTAGACTATAGACTAGACTATAGACTAGACTATAGACTAGACTATAGACTAGACTATAGACTAGACTATAGACTAGACTATAGACTAGACTATAGACTAGACTATAGACTAGACTATAGACTAGACTATAGACTAGACTATAGACTAGACTATAGACTAGACTATAGACCTAGACTATAGACTAGACTATAGACTAGACTATAGACTAGACTATAGACTAGACTATAGACTAGACTATAGACTAGACTATTAGACTAGACTATAGACTAGACTATAGACTCGACTATAGACTAGATCTAGACTAGACTATAGACTAGACTTAGACTAGACTATAGACTAGACTATAGACTAGACTATAGACTAGACTAGGACCCTAGACTAGACTAGACTAGACTTATAGACTAGACTATAGACTAGACTATAGACTAGACTATAGACTAGACTATAGACTAGACTATAGATAGACTATAGACTAGTCTATAGTCTAGTCTATAGTCTGTCTATAGTTCTAGTCTAATAGTCTAGTTAGCTAGTCTAGAATTAGACTTAGACTAGACTATAGACTAGACTATAGACTAGACTATAGACTAGACTATAGACTAGACTATAGACTAGACTATAGACTAGACTATAGCACTAGACTGCTATAGACTAGACTATAGACTAGACTATAGACTAGACTATAGACTAGACTATAGACTAGACTATAGACTAAGAACTATAGACTAGACTATAGACTAGACTATAGACTAGACTATAGACTAGACTATAGACTAGACTATAGACTAGCCTATAGACTAGGACTATAGACTAGACTATAGACTAGACTATAGACTAGACATAGACTAGACTATAGACTCGACTATAGACTAGACTATAGACTAGACTATAGACTAGACTATAGACTAGACTATAGACTAGACTATAGACTAGACTAGACTATAGACTAGACTATAGACTAGACTATAGACTAGACTATAGACTAGACTATAGACTAGACTATAGACTAGACTATAGACTAGACTATAGACTAGACTATAGACTAGACTATAGACTAGACTATAGACTAGACTATAGACTAGACTATAGACTAGACTATAGACTAGACTATAGACTAGACTATAGACTAGACTATAGACTAGACTATAGACTAGACTATAGACTAGACTATAGACTAGACTATAGACTAGACTATAGACTAGACTATAGACTAGACTATAGACTAGACTATAGACTAGACTATAGACTAGACTATAGACTAGACTATAGACTAGACTATAGACTAGACTATAGACTAGACTATAGACTAGACTATAGACTAGACTATATACTAGACTATAGACAAGACTATAGACTATAGACTAGACTATAGACTAGACTATAGACTAGACTATAGACTAGACTATAGACTAGACTATAGACTAGACTATAGACTAGACTATAGACTAGACTATAGACTAGACTATAGACTAGACTATAGACTATAGACTAGACTAGACTAGACTAGACTATAGACTAGACTAGACTATAGACTAGACTAGACTAGACTATAGACTAGACTATAGACTAGACTATAGACTAGACTATAGACTAGACTATAGACTAGACTAGACTATAGACTAGACTATAGACTAGACTATAGACTAGACTATAGACTAGACTATAGACTAGACTATAGACTAGACTATAGACCAGACTATAGACTAGACTATAGACTAGACTATAGACTAGACTATAGACTAGACTATAGACTAGACCATAAACTAGACCATAAACTAGACTATAGACTAGACTATATACCAGACTATTGACTAGACTGTAAATTAGACTATAGTCTAAACTATAAACTGGACTATAGTCTAGACTATAAATTAGTTTATGGATTCGGCTATAGACCATTCTTGACTAAAATTATTTAATCTTTCTCTGAAATTTGGTTTGGTTCTCCATTAGTGACACACTTTCATAGATATTTACATACAAATTAATAATTTCATAATTTGCAATAAAAACAAACTTCCTAGTTTAGGCCCAATATTTAAGTATAAATAACAGAAATAAAAATTTTTTCTTAAACTTACCCTTCCGGTATTGTGCTATAGTATAAAAGTAAAGTTGCAATTTCATAACAATTTAGGCCAGCAGCAACAACGCTTTCGGCATCGACTGTAACTAACGGATTTCCATTTAAATCACGGGTTCCTGTAATTTAATAACACAAATTGTATAGATTGTTAATAAAGAAACTAAATAGCTTTCTAGGTGGTCCCTCATAAGTATCACACTTGAATGTTTGTTAATTCAAAAACATTCGAGATACATATAGGCAGACAGACAGATAGACACACGTACATGACAAATCATATCGCTTAAATGCTTGAGAGGACTATTATCTATGGTCATGCTTTCATGGACACTTAAAAACCAAAGAGAAATTCTTGGCGATAACGTGCATAGGAAAGATAGTTTTTAATTAAAATTTAATTTGCATATTTGCAATAAATATTTATACACTTTTTGCCTCAATTGAGGAGGAAGAAAGAAAAAATGTTTTAAAAAAACATGAAATCTTAGAGAATACAATAAAGAGAAAAGATCACAACCGCAACAAGGTGTGTTTCAAATCACCATCATCAGCACCGATGAAGATGACAATCATTGACCATGTGCACGAGTAGTATAAAGAAAAGATATTGATACTACCAGGAATACCAGGTAGTGGTAGTGTAACACTGATGCTTAATGATCCCATAAAAAGAGATGTATTGAAATTTATGTTGTGCGTAAAATGGGGTTTCCAATTGCAAATCAATTAACGCAAATGTTAACAATTTTACACAGATCTGTATGTTATGGTTTTTCTCTCGCTATGCAAATTCTTAATGGATCAATGTTGATGATAAATTTTAACTAGTGAAAGTAACTAGAACTGTGCCACAACACAGAAGCTGTGGCAATTGCAACTACAGTTCCCAGCCCAGCCGCACACAAAGCCACTAAAGCTGGCGGCAGCATTAATATGTATCGAAGGTGTGTCCAAGAATTAAAGTCAAACAGAAGAAGAAAGTTTAAGTTTTTTTCTTCTTTATTTTGGTTTTATACTTAATGAGTGACTGCTAAAAGGAACATAAAATAAACTTACCAGGTAAATAGATGCCAGATAAAAGTAGTTTTTCGGGTAAATCGGTAATTAAATTTGGCGGTATAATTTCACTTTCCAATTGATCTATAAGTAATCGAAAATAAAGAAGAGTAATAAAAATGAAATTAATTAACGCTTAAAATTGATTTGAACTAGTTTTTGTTTGAATATAAAGTGTCTAACGTAATTAAAGCTATTTTAGTCAATTTAATTTATAAACTGTAGATATGGAAATGTTGGAGAAAAAAGTTATTAGCTAGATTGGTTAAACAATGTAATAGTTTTGTTTTGAAAAACCTCCCACTATTATCACATATTTGGTGGTTTATATATTTAAAGTTACTTTAATACCAAGCTGTTTTTAAGTTAGAAATAATGGATGCTGATTGAAGGCCTAATCGGTTACAATCTTCTCTTGTTTTCGTATGATCTGTTGTTGTATTTGTATAATTTTTTAAATATAAGTAGTTGACATCTTAATGTACCCATTCCGAGGTTGCCGGTTAATAACTTACTATGCTTTCTAAATGACAACGATTTTCCATAACATTTTTTGATTTGTTAAGCACTTTTCTAGAGTTTCGGTAATTATACCGATCTCTCTTCTATATAAGTAAACCACAATACTAGATTTGAATTCAAAATTTCGATTCACATTATTGTCAGTAAATCGTTAAAAACAAGGTTCTTATTCCAAAACAATTGCATTTTTATTAGAACTTTATCCTGAACTTTATCCTGAACTTTACCTGATCTCAGTACAATTTATTATATATGGCTATAAACACTAATGTTTACATTTTCTCGCTTAGACCAACCAGATCATTATTTCACTGGTCGTGAGTAATATAATATAGACTTGCACCAAGCATTTTGCACTCAAAGTTTACGGCAACAACAAATTCATTTGTAAAGCAAATAATTCAATACATTTGTTAAGGAATTCATGCGAAAAAGAATAAAACGTTTTAAAGCTCTGTTCTGTGGCAAATTTTATAAAATAAAATCAAATCAATGCCAACCAGCATAAATAAACACGCTTAATACGACCAATATGTGTAAATAAAAAGTGTAAATGTTTAACATGTTTTACTTAAAAAAATAGAAATTGGCAACCTTTTGTGGTGGCCAAATTTGCGCCTACCTAAAATTGTTTAACAGACATACAGTGGTAAGTAAACTATTACATACAATTACTACTTATAACTACTATTAGGCATGGAAAATTTAAATTTTAAAATATTATTAACTTATAGACTGTATATTGACTTTAGACTAAGTATGTGTAGTAGTCTAGACTATAGTAGTCTAGTCTATAGTAGTCTAGTCTATAGTCTAGTCTATAGTCTAGTCTATAGTCTAGTCTATAGTAGTCTAGTCTATAGTCTAGTCTATAATAGTCTAGTCTATAGTCTAGTCTATAGTCTAGTCTATAATAGTCTAGTCTATAGTCTAGTCTATAGTCTAGTCTATAATAGTCTAGTCTATAGTCTAGTCTATAGTCTATAATAGTCTAGTCTATAGTCTAGTCTATAGTCTAGTCTATAGTCTAGTCTATAGTCTAGTCTAGTCTAGTCTATAGTCTAGTATAGTCTAGTCTATAGTCTAGTCTATAGTCTAGTCTATAGTCTAGTCTATAGTCTAGTCTATAGTCTAGTCTATAGTCTAGTCTATAGTCTAGTCTATAGTCTAGTCTATAGTCTAGTCTATAGTCTAGTCTATAGTCTAGTCTATAGTCTATAGTCTAGTCTATAGTCTAGTCTATAGTCTAGTCTATAGTCTAGTCTATAGTCTAGTCTAGTCTATAGTCTAGTCTATAGTCTAGTCTATAGTCTAGTCTATAGTCTAGTCTATAGTCTAGTCTATAGTCTAGTCTATAGTCTAGTCTATAGTCTAGTCTATAGTCTAGTCTATAGTCTAGTCTATAGTCTAGTCTATAGTCTAGTCTATAGTCTAGTTATAGTAGTCTATAGTCTAGTCTATAGTCTAGTCTATAGTCTAGTCTATAGTCTAGTCTATAGTCTAGTCTATAGTCTAGTCTATAGTCTAGTCTATAGTCTAGTCTATAGTCTAGTCTATAGTCTCTAGTTCTATAGTCTAGTCTATAGTCTAGTCTATAGTCTAGTCTATAGTCTAGTCTATAGTCTAGTCTATAGTCTAGTCTATAGTCTAGTCTATAGTCTAGTCTATAGTCAGTCTATAGTCTAGTCTATAGTCTAGTCTATAGTCTAGTCTATAGTATAGTCTAGTCTATAGTCGAGTCATAGTTCTACGTCTTATATTCTAGTCTATAGTCTAGTCTATAGTTAGTTCTATAGTCTAGTCTATAGTCTAGTCTATGTCTAGTCTATAGTCTAAGTCTATAGTCTAGTCTATAGGTCTAGTCTATAGTCTAGTCTATAGTCTAGTCTATAGTTCTAGCTATTAAGGTCTAGTTTATAGTCTAGTAGATAGTCTGTCTTAGTTAGTTCTACTAGTCTAGTCTATAGTCTAGTCTATAGTCTAGTCTATGTCTAGTCTATGTAGTCTATAGTCTAGTCTATGTCTAGTATATAGTCTGATAATAGTCTGATCTATAGTTGATCTATAGTCTGATCTATAGTCTGATCTATAGTCTGATCTATAGTTGATCTATAGTCTGATCTATAGTCGGATCTATAGTCTGATCTATAGTCTGATCTATAGTTCTGATCTATAGTCGATCTATAGTTGAATCATAGTCTGATCTATAGTCTGATCTATAGTCTGATCTATAGTCTGACTAGTCTAGTCTATAGTCTAGTCTATAGTCCAGTCTATAGTCTAGTCTATAGTCTGATCTATAGTCTGATCTATAGTCTGATCTATAGTCTGATCTATAGTCTGATCTATAGTCTGATCTATAGTCTGATCTATAGTCTGATCTATAGTTTAGTCTATAGTCTAGTCTGTAGAACAATTTACTAAAGTACTGAATTTTCCATGCCTGCCTACTACTATGAATACTGCTAGTACTACCCAAATAGTATTCTACTAAAGTAGTTTAGACAAACATATGAGCTTTGCTCGCAAATATGACTGTGTAAAGTTTACACTTGCAAAATTTAATTCGTTTAAACTATAAATTCACATGTTCCTGAAGTCTAAGAGTTTTGTGTACAATCGATGCTGTTGCATGCAATCAAATTTCTTTATTGACAAATTAAAGTGTTTATAGGTGTATTGATTACATTTACTGTTTACGGTGGTTTGGGGCATATTGGTATTTACTATTTACAGTAAATGCTTATAATATTATGACCAACCATGTCGGAATGCATGAAACTCAAGCAAAGAATATTAGGAGCTGCTGATGTTTGGATTATATTCAAAACTCTCTATATTAGAGAGTACTGTTTTTTAGAAGAGCAAAAGAACTGTTTATTTTGCTAATTCGTTAGAGTTTTTAGGTTAGGTTATAAGGGAATTTTGTCAGTTAGTTCGACTGAATTTTAATATTTTAGCTTCTCTATCAAAAGACACACCTAATCATCCAAACAGATGGACGGACACCATTAAAGCAACATGGAATTTGATTATGTTTTCTTAAAAGTGCGTGTGGCACCAATAATTTTAAACTTTGCCAACATTATCACATACGTTTAATACCCTCTCCTCTCTATTAAATTCATACCGTTGTTGGTGTAGGTATCAAAAGAATGCGCATGAAGTAAAAGTATTTTATGTAATTTATAACTCAAACATAACTAAAGCCATATTCAATATACCGCCTGCTGTTTTAAACTGTCGTTATTAAATTGTCTGCAATATTTTGCTTCAAATATTATTTCCACACTTTTTTTCTTTCTAACATCTAACATTAAGACAAATGCTTTAGTTAACTAACTTGTCGATAACATACATACAGTAGGATGTGTAGACTTCTTTTGAATACAAGTTTTTATTGATAGTGCGTCGTTAGGGAAGCGATGAAAATCTAATTTGGTAAGACTTTCAAAATGATAAATTTATAGATGTCACATTTGAATGTTAAAAGTGAATAAAATATTACAAACATGCAACTTTGTGCGTTAAATATTTGTACTTGTAAATATTTTTTTAAATTAGAAAATTTTTTAGAAAACTTGTTAAATTTTTTTTAACATTCCATGTCATCTTTAATTAAATCAAGAGAGATGAAAATAAATTATTTTTCATGAATTTCGATCAATTTTCTTTTTATAGAAAATTTTCCAGAAATTTTCTTTTTAAAGAAAATGTTCCATAAATTTTCTTTTTAAAAAAAATTTTCTTTTTATAGAAAATTTTTCCATAAATTTTCTTTTTATAGAAAATTTTCAATGAATTTTCTTTTTATAGAAAATTTTTAATGAATTTTCTTTTTAGAAAATTTCCAATGAATTTTCTTTTTATAGAAAATTTCCAATGAATTTTCTTTTTATAGAAAATTTCCAATGAATTTTCTTTTTATAGAAAATTTCCAATGAATTTTCTTTTTATAGAAAATTTTCAATGAATTTTCTTTTTATATTTTCTTTTATAAAAAATTTTCAATGAATTTTCTTTTTATAGAAAATTTTCAATGAATTTTCTTTTTATAGAAAACTTTTCGATAAAGTTTCTTTTTATAGAAAATTATAGAAAATTTTCAATGAATTTTCTTTTTATAGAAAATTTTTAATGAATTTTCTTTTTATAGAAAATTTTCAATGAATTTTCTTTTTATAGAAAATTTTCAATGAATTTTCTTTTTATAGAAAATTTTCAATGAATTTTCTTTTTATAGAAAATTTTCAATGAATTTTCTTTTATAAAAGATTTTCAATGAATTTTCTTTTTATAGAAAATTTTCAATGAATTTTCTTTTTATAGAAAACTTTTCGATAAAGTTTCTTTTTATAGAAAATTTTCGATGAATTTTTTTTATAGAAAATTTTCAATGAATTTTCTTTTTAAAGAAAATTTTCAATGAATTTTCTTTTTATAGAAAATTATCAATGAATTTTCTTTTTATAGAAAATTTTCGATGAATTTTCTTTTTAGAAAATTTTCAATGAATTTTCTTTTTAGAAAATTTTCAATGAATTTTCTTTTTATCAAATCAAATCAAATTTCTTTTTATAGAAAATTTTCAATGAATTTTCTTTTTATAGAAAACTTTTCGATAAAGTTTCTTTTTATAGAAAATTTTCGATGAATTTTCTTTTTTATAGAGAATTTTCGATGAATTTTCTTTTTATAGAGAATTTTCGATGAATTTTCTTTTTATAGAGAATTTTCGATGAATTTTCTTTTTATAGAAAATTTTCGATGAATTTTCTTTTTCTTTTTATAGAAAATTTTCGATGAATTTTCTTTTTATAGAAAATTTTCGATGAATTTTCTTTTTAGAAAATTTTCGATGAATTTTCTTTTTAGAAAATTTTCAATGAATTTTCTTTTTATAGAAAATTTTCAATGAATTTTCTTTTTATAGAAAACTTTTCGATAAAGTTTCTTTTTATAGAAAATTTTCGATGAATTTTCTTTTTATAGAAACATTTCAATGAATTTTCTTTTTATAGAAAACTTTTCGATAAAGTTTCTTTTTATAGAAAATTTTCAATGAATTTTCTTTTTATAGAAAATTTTCAATGAATTTTCTTTTTATAGAAAATTTTCAATGAATTTTCTTTTTATAGAAAGATTTCAATGAATTTTCTTTTTATAGAAAGATTTCAATGAATTTTCTTTTTATAGAAAATTTTCAATGAATTTTCCTTTTTTAGAAAATTTTTCGATTAATTTTCTTTTTATAGAAAATTTTCCAGAAATTTTCTTTTTATAGAAAACTTTCAATAAAATTTAAATGAAGCTTTTTAAATTTAACTAGTTAAACCATTTCCATTCTATCACTATTTCTAATTCTAAATGTATGTCACAAATAACTAATATCTAGAGCGCTAGAAGCACTTCTATAACAACTTACCATCAGTTAATGAATTGCGTTTATCTTCGGTATTCTCTTCATCACTGTCGATGTGTGGAAATGAATTACCTAAACAAAATCTTGGCAAGGCAGGTGAATTCAGTTCATTGGTTTTTGGTTTCAGTTTGTGGTATTGTTGTTGTTGCTGCTGATGTTGTTGTTGTAATTATTTTATGGCTATTGTTGTGGTTGTTGTTGCCGCTGCTAATATTTCTGTTATTAATGCTGTTTATTAGATGACTTTTGGCATAAGAATCGCTATCACTTGATGCGTTACTCAAACCACTGGCACTGCTATTACCCGAAGACGTTGAATTCATACTATCCTGACGATTGGTTCAAACGTCTCAGCATGTATTTGTTGTTGTGTAATTTATTTTTGGTAATTAATTCACTGCGTCTTAATGCACATTTCGGTGAATTTGGCAATTGGAGTCTACCGTTAAGCGTACCATAATGATTTTTCTCATCTCTTAATGATGATGATGATGAGGATGTTTGTGATGTACCAGTTGCTGTGGTGTTGGCAGATGAATTATTATGACAACTTGTATCGCCACCATTACCACCACCACTAAATGGTATTTGTGGTAGTTGATTGAGCGATAAACGCTCAAGACTATTCTCCACGCCTATCAGTAGACTCTGTAAGATTTGTGGCAAATCGTCACTTAACATTTCGAGTGCTAATGTGCTCAGGTACAATGTGTGATCTTGGTAATCAAGTTGACAACTTTTCAAAGTTGACCCTGATTCTACAGTTGTCGTTGTTGTTGTTTTTGTTGCAGCAGTAGTAGTGTTGTTAATGTGTCGATTAAAGGGTTCTCTGTTGGCGTACGCCAAACGGCATACAATTGAGGTTCTTTATTCGTTTCAGCTGTGGTAAAAGAAGAAAAAGAAGGGAATGGAGGTGGAAGGAGCATGGGGGGGCGGAGGAGAGGGGGGCGGGGGAGGGGAAGAGGGACGAGGGGAGAAAGAGGGGAGAGGGAACAAAGGCGGGAGCGCGGCAAGGACAGGCAAGAGCAGAGAGCGAGCGAGCAGCGAGCGAGCGAGCGAGCGAGCGAGGCGAGCGAGCGAGCGAGCAGCGAGGAGCGAGCGAGCGAGCGAGCGAGCGAGCGAGCGAGAGAGAGCGAGCGAGCGAGCGAGCGAGCGAGCGAGCGAGCAGCAGCGAGCGAGCGAGCGAGAGCGAGCGAGCGAGCGAGCGAGCGAGCGAGCGAGCGAGCGAGCGAGCGAGCGCGAGCGAGCGAGCGAGCGAGCGAGCGAGCGAGGAGCGAGCGAGCGAGCGAGCGAGCGAGCGAGCGAGCGAGCGAGCGAGAGCGAGCGAGCGAGCGAGCGAGCGAGCGAGAGAGCGAGCGAGCGAGCGAGCGAGCGGAGCGAGCGAGCGAGCGAGCGAGCGAGCGAGCGAGCGAGCGATGCGAGCGAGCGAGCGAGCGAG